TCCCTCTTTTTTTGTTGTTCTCTCTCTTTCACCACTCGTGCTATTACCATCATTCTCTCTCACATCCACTCCTACTGTACATGATTTCTAATCGTTTGGGAAGCTACAAACTTCGTAGTTAGACTGCTCGAAGAAGTCCCTTGCAGTCCCTGATTAAAAAGGAAATAGCCCATACTAATATCGGTGATGTCATGCACTTTGGTAACTGTAGGGCCTCATGCACCTAACTGAAAGGACCATGGTCCCATCCTCTTCATTTTTTTCCCAATATCATTACACAACTAATGAAACAGATACCAGACCGACACCAGGACCCCATTGCACAAAACTTACCATTGATGGTAACTTTGCCATCAATGGTGACTACCATGGAAACCTTGATTTCGATTGGATGTTGAGCCCTGTTACCATGGTAGTTGCCATTGATGGCAAAGTTACCATCGATGGTAAGTTTTGTGCAACGGGGCCCAGACCAAACACAACATTACATGACCATGAATTGCCAAGAATCGGTCGGTTCGAAATCAGTTAGAGGTCGGGGAGACGCCCTCTTCAAAATATTGGTTAAGCATTTGCCCAGCAAGAGGTTCATTATCCACCTCACCAAATTTGGGCATTTAATTTTTACCCAACCTGAGTAATAAATTGTCCAATTAGGGACAAACAATTAATAATTGATTTAAAATGGGCAAAATATCAACCAACTTTTTTTTAATTTTTAATGCAAACAGATGGTGGACACGTAATTACCTTCATGGAACATTTTAAACCCAATAATTTTACGAGTGAGGCATTATTGGTTTCACAAACTTGTACCCTGCAGGGCTTCAATTTAATCCATCTATACACTCACTCTCACCCACAACTTGTCACTGCAATTAAGACTATGGTCGTAGTATAAGTATATTAGTATAACTTTATTAACAATTGAAATTGATATATTCTTTGCATTCATAGCTTTTTGACCTGTTTCATATTGGACAAATATAATCATTTATATATTGTGGACATTCATTGCGATATGAAAAGAAATATACACATATTTAAACAAAAATGGAATATGAGAACAACAAAAAGATAGAGAAATAAATGAGGCGTAGAACCTCTCTAAAAGCTTTTTTTTCATGACCACACGACCCCTTGAAATATAATCATGAAATGGTCAAACTTTAATGGTCATATCATTTAACAATAAAGGAATATGCAGGATATATAAGTGCACCACAATCACTACAAAATGATGCAGTTGACAGTTGTTTGCATGGCGTTCTTGCATAAAACACATAGCTTTGCATAATTGGTATAGTATGTTTTCAAAAGTACGCGGAAGAAACTGTGAGAAGTAATAGACATAATGACATTTCCCCCAATTTAACCACTAGTTACTTACTGTAATTCTATATTTTATGTAGTAACATTTATAGGAGAGTAAAAGACTGTTGATTCTTACACCCTCAAACAAGTTGGGCAAAATCTTACCAAATATTGCGGGAAAAAGAAAATGTTGATAGATAGTATTCTATTATGCACGCTATTCGGGTAAAGATTATACCTAATGGTATGTTCCATTTTACCTATCAAAACAAACGTGCGTGTTTTCTTTTCATCAGACATTGTATAAAATCTTTGTCTAACTGGATTTGTTGGGGTAAACCCCTTATGTTGACGCTTTTTCCATGCCTTTCTGCAAATGAAATAAAATAGCATATGTATCAAACATAACGTGTCAATCTTTCTGTACAGCCTGGGCAGTGTCGTGCTGGTTGGATCTCCAAATGCTTGGGAATACACAAATCTCAGTTTTATTTACACATGACCATTCTACAGTGACAGTGTTTGACTTGCAAAAGTTGTTGCAATATAAGGAAAGTCTTCGTGGCATATGATGTATTGTTGCAGCGCAACACGAAGAAAATTATCTAAACATGGCTGAATACAAATGGTAGGCCTAAATGATGTTCAGAAAATCATGTATTTTGTGGGGAACATGTACATGTAACCATCGAAGGAGACATAGACATTGTAATATTTGAAATGTAGTGGAATTGAAGTCCACTTTTATCGAGATTAGGATTCTAAAATAATTAATGTGAAGAACATAACAATATGACAAGTTAAACGTTGCATTTGCGAGACTATTTTGAGGGTAAAAGAACACAGACAAATTTACCTTTTAGGTAAATATTAGGCAGTAGAATCATCTGGATAGATACTGGTAGTAACCTATACAACAATATATAACTTAATGCTAAATATATTACTCATTGCGGATATAGTATCGAAAATAATATCGCTAGTGATATTCGTTTGTCTCGCAATGTGGTCAATAAGGAATCTAAAAGATCACGACGTTTCGTATGCTACTGCGATACTTCGTCAGGTGATAAAAACTATTGTAAGCAAGGGTCTTTTATACTTTACGGGAGGACCGGCGGAGCGGTCTATAATTCGATCGATAATTGGAACAATAACGCCCAATGCCTATTGGTCGACGCACACGGTGATCGACCAATCACCAAGGCCGCTGGTTCGGCTGATGCACCAGGCCTATTGGCCGACGCATACGGTACTCAACCAATCAACGGGCCGCTGGCTCGGGCCGTCTGCTGAATGGAATCGACCGTTGTTGGCTGGCAGGACGGCGAGTGTCATGGCGGCGTATCGTCCGCATCCAAAATTTGGGGATATCGATCCCGTTGTCTCTGTTGAAATTATTAGGATTGAGACGGATATTGATAGCTTCTTTTACCCTCCGTGTATACCAATGCCGTTCCTGGGAAAGGCACTGAACCCCGTCCCAGTCTGGTTGATGCTGGTTATCCCAAGCATGTTCGGCTACGGCTGAGTTGTCAGTTCGACGGAGTCTGACGTCCCTCTTATGCTCAGTGATTCTTTCTTTTATCGGACGGGCAGTTTCACCGATGTAGGATCTATCACATCCTTTACAAGGGATGTTGTACACAATGCCGTCCCGTCTATGTGGAGGAATTGGATCCTTGGGGCGTGTAAGTTGTTGACGTAGGGTGGTATCTGATCTGAAAACCGTTCGAATGCCATGGCTCTCTAGGCGGCGCTTGAGTTGTTGTGAGACCCCATCAATGTACGGCAAGACTGTAAAAGTCTTGTATACCTTCTGGGCGTTATTGTTCCAATTATCGATCGAATTATAGACCGCTCCGCCGGTCCTCCCGTAAAGTATAAAAGACCCTTGCTTACAATAGTTTTTATCACCTGACGAAGTATCGCAGTAGCATACGAAACGTCGTGATCTTTTAGATTCCTTATTGACCACATTGCGAGACAAACGAATATCACTAGCGATATTATTTTCAATATATAACTTCATATAATAAACCCGCATATTATCATTCTCGAGATCCCCTCAAGGGATAAAAAGCTTTATTAAACTTCAATTATTTCCTCTTAATTTATATTTTCTTATTTCTTACAGTAAAAATACATTTTAATAAAGAAATTTCCGTCTCTTATTTACATATAAAACTTTCTATCAAGAACATGTTCTGTCAACTGCAAGTGTGATGAATTCTATACATATTAATTCTAGATTCAATCTACTGTAATGGTTTGGGGGAGTTTATTTGTCAAGTTTAGAGTTTCTATTTAATAGATTCCAGCGTATGTATACATAACTTTGTAAATCCTTTGAAATGTATGCTATAAATTCATCCTCATGCAGCCCAGATTAATAATGATGATAATAGTGGGTTCTTATATGGTGCTAATGTCTGTCAGATATTACACTCCTGGTGCTCCACAATTATCACCCTGGCTTTAGCATAGCTTCCATTATGGCGCTCTAACATTTCAAGGAATTTATTCCCGCCAGATACCCATTTACCTCACCTCGGTGGAGTGTGGCAAATGTAGTTCAATGTCTTGCCAAGGGACATTAGGGCCGAGGCGGGACTCGAACCACGAACCATGTGATCCACAGTCCGGCGTTGTACCCAATAGACCACGTCATCTCCAGCTCAAGCATCAACTAGTCTTTACTGGCTTCCTTCTCACTAGAAATACTATATTCTTAGATGCGCAGGTCATGGGTTCGAACCCCGGCACTGCATTTCTGCCCTTAAGCAAGGCGTTTGTATCTACATTGCTTCTGTCCACGTGTTGAATGGGTCAGTACACGGCAGAATGCGAACGTTAATGTGGTTAGATTGGCATGTGAGCACCTGTAAAATCGCGACTGGCTGGAATGCTCCCCAGGAAGTGGAGCATGTGCACTCATTATGAACGGAATAGTATAAAGTTATATCGAATGACGGTAATAATAACAAATTACATTGTAAGGTACTTTAAAGAAACGAAGTTTTAAGCGCTATACCAATTTTACTAGTATTACTGTCACTATAGTAGTCTATTAGAATTTCGACAATTATCTACAGCCTTCTTAAGTTTAATACACTGTCGTCATAGGAGGGATGTTTGTTGTGGAGTTGTTAAAGGTACTATGTCCCATTTGCAGGCCAAAAAAATGAAAAAGTTAAATTCCAACTGCATTTGAAAGATAATACTAATTTAGAACTTCCCTAAAAAAGGTGGGGCTTGAAAATGTCTTCAAGTGGGAAAATAACGACTATTAGTTGTCAAATCGACTTTAGGGCTATAGAGCCCAAAAGTAATAGTCTTGATTTTCAGACAATTGTACCGAATGGTCATACGTTTGATGCTGCGCAAAGATTCAATCAGTTTAATCTTGGCCATCACAAGAAGTGGGTTATTGATGTAGACAAATGCTCATGTACCCTTTACAACTCTTTTCATGTATGTTATTACCAAAGAAGAAAAAAAGCCTGTCAGTCACTCAATAGTGTCTGACAGTGAAGTCTAGCAAGTAAACGGGTTTCCTTGCATAATTTGAATATGAGGACACTGGTAACGTTTAAATTTCACAGATAGGACATACATGACATATTCATAATTCCTGCAAAGTTCTACAGAATTTGAGGTTGGCTGCAAAAGGGACATAGTACCTTTAAAAGGAATGTCTTCTGGTACATAGAGGATACCTGGATAGAAATATACAATGAATTATAAATTAGGTATATTAAATACTTATTGATTACTATTTAATTTCATCACTGTGAATTCTTTCTCAAAATAGATAGATAAATAAATAAATAAATAAATAAATAAATAGGTAAATGAATACAATATATATATGTGTGTGTGTGTGTACGTTTGTCTATGAGTATTATATTTATCAAAATAATGAATAAATAAACATTACCAGAAGGACGTTATGGCGTACCAGTCTTTATAATCTTGTACATGTACAGGATTTTACTTCAAGACGTGTACTTATAATCCCTGGTAAATGATAACGTTGGCTCGATTTAAGAATAGTACGGGCAGACAATAAAGGGTATTTATTTTAGTAATGCAGGGGTGTTTCACAAAGATCCTAAGTTGAACTTATCTCTATATATAAGTTGGACTTAACAATTATGGAAAGCCATTAGCATCCTTGAAAATATTTTATAAAAGTTATTTTAAAAGGCATAAAATGTTGATTAAAATCATTCATATTTTCTATTATCAAGGAAGATTTCATGTTCTTGATGTGGAATTTATGAAAAATCTAAAATACTTGAATTTTTGCTTTTGAATATATTTAATTATAAGGCTACAAATGGCTCTCCATAATTTTTAAGTCCAACTAAGAGTTAAGTTCGACTTAGGATCTTTGTGAAACACCCCCCAGTAGTTTAAAGTATACATTACCTGCGATGCATGCAGTCATGAAGCAAGCGACCGTTCCAGCGATTAGGGCTCAAATTGCCACTGCTGCTAAGTCACCCTTCCTTGAGGGCGCCATAGGTCCTAAAGCACCTAGTACAATGCCTACAGAGCCTATGTTGGCAAAGCCGTAGAGGGCGTAGGTAGCAATCACTTCCGATCGAACCTGTAAAAAAGATTCGGGGGTTGGAATGTTAATTATTGTCAATGGTCGCCTTTAAATATTAAATTATGGCTAATGTCAAAATTGCTCTTGGCTGACGACGGAGAGGGCAACACCAGCAAAACCAGTAGTGTCGCCCGCACAGGCCTTTCTGACTTTTCTGAAGGTTTTTCAGGAGACTGAGGGTCCATGAGACCGCCAGTAACAGCAGTATATTGTTCTCATATCTTTCTCAAGGTTTTTCCGAGTTCTCATATTATCGAAGTTGTCAGTCTCGTTGGCTCTCCAGCAATTGATCTACTGTCCAATATATTAGCAACATTTGTCAATCCCAATATGTGTGTGATTGCAGATGGATAGTAGTAGGAAACCCGGACATCACTGCAGCAGGTAATTACACGCTGCATGCATGCACACTCCTACATACGTCATAGCAAAAGCATATTAACACTCACAGCAAGATGCATGGACATGCAGTATCAGGCTACATAATTATGTACAGTGCATGCATACTACAGTGAATAGGGTGGATCACGTGTCAAAGTGTATAGCTTGTCAATGCCCAATGAGAGTATACAGATTTACTGATTTCATACCCGACCAAGTTTTGTATAAACAAATATACATGTATGTGAAAATTTGATATTTGGTATGGGGTCATGAATATGGTTCAAATGATATTGAAAGCATACGATTTTACAATCGTTGAAATCGAGTCTAAAGTGATGAAATTGTAAGTAATAAAATCGTTATGTTGTGTAGCTCCATCTCAAGACTGATATTACATGTACTTTAGCTTTAAAATAAAACAATGTTTCTTGACTACAATCGAACGATTTGCTATTCCCATTTCGAAATTGTATCAGAAATGCATATTCTGAGATTTTCATGGTTGCAGCTACCATGGAATGGCCTTAGGTGCTATTTGAAATATTTGAAATTTACTGGGAGAAATGTAAACTAAAACAAGAAAACAAAATTACAAAAATTACCACAAAGATCTTGGTAAGATGTTAAAAAAGGAGAAGTTACACATAGCTGCCAAATCTCAATCGCTAATAGCTCACATAGAGAAATAGAGAAATAGAGAAGAAAAGGACAACAGCTTCAAACTGTGAAAAGTTTGGTGAGCGTTTGTTAATGTATTTTTCATTTTGTTTTTGCTTGTTTGTTTGTTTGTTGCTTTTCTCTATTAGGGTAGTAGCATACATACATGTACATGTACAATACTGTCCAGACTTTAGCCTAGGCGTTTAGGTACTACAATTTGCACGAGTACATGTACATGTACATGTACAGTGTAGTTACTCTTATAATTGGAAGGGATACCAAATTAATACAATGTATGTATCAAACATCCACAACTGACACCTTTTACAAGAAATCTAGAGTGAAGTAAAGAATCATTTAAAAAGAAGTACATGTACCGGTACATGTACATTATCAACACTAAAAATGTATGCTAGAAAAATCCCAACACATGCTTTTACAAGGAGAATATGAGTAAAATATTTTTAAATTTCGCACATGGGGTATCCAATATTTGTTACTTGCATATTATTATCAGAACTTGAAATGAAACACAAACAACACTTTGAAACACAAACAAAACATGTACATGTACATTGTGTATGTACAGTATTAGTGAAACATGGAATAACATTAATTATAAGTATACCAAGGAAACACACCACTACATGAAGTCTACAAAATATATGAAAGCTCACTATAAACCTGCTATTAACTTTCAAAGAACAAATTCAGAAAGAAAAATAAACCAAACAGACAAGTACATGTAGGGTAATACAGAAAATATGATCATTAAATGTTACTGTTTAGTACAAGGTGTTACAAATGAAAAAAATACATGTATTTGATAAAAAATCAGAGTGAAATTATGTATAAAAAGCAGCAAACCAAATTACATTGACTGTTATCATATAAAAATGGCAACAAAAAAAGAAAACAAAATTTGAAATCAATTTAAATTGTCAAGATTGACATTTTTGACAATACAGCAATTCTTTTGAGATAGAGTTAGAGCAGAATACTATTTATTGCTTCTTTGTGAATAAACTGGAAACCAAAGAAATAATGAAATGTTTTAATAGATTAAGTTGACAAAAATGTCATTATGATATGGTTTGACAAGTACATGTACATACTGACAGTACACTGAGAAGGGAAAAATATGCACTCTTATGACTCTTTGATTGGCATAATTGTCTGACCCAGTAAAAATAAATTGAATAATTCAGGGCCAATAAATCAAATACTGCTGTTAATTGAATTTGCTTTGAACAGGAAATTTGTATTTGAAGAAAATGTCAAAATATTGTACTTTAAAATCCAGGGGTAATTGGGATTCTGAGTAAGTTTTTTTCTCACTAAAATATTTTATTTCATTTTTTTTTAAATAACTGGTATTCTGAGACCACTTTTTACCTCAAACTTCACCTTTCATCTTATCACGCGTGTTCATTACAGTTTATACGCATGATATGCGCAGCTTCAACCCAACCTTATTTTATGTAAAAGATAAAAATAACATTCAAAATAGGGTAGGGGGTATTTTATCTCTCGGATAAACAGTAAGTGCAGCATTTTTGGACAAGTATGCTGCTAGTCCTGTGATCAAAATTAACACAAAATACTGACTATTTATTGACTATATTTCTAATGGTATGGCAACATGATTTGGGCTATGCAAAAAATGAAATATCCCTAAATAAAGCGAGCGACTTGACAACAATAGAAATCAGAATAACGGCAAACTTACCTTCTCTTTATAACTGTTGCCCAGCATCTGGACGCTCTTCAGGTCGACGGCCCCCTTAAGGCCTTTCTTGCCTTCCTTCTTTTTCCTCTTCTTACAGCAACATTTTTTACAGATACAGAAGCAGCAACAGAGGAGTATAAGGCCTGCCACAATGGCAATGGCTACCACAGCCCATGTTGGAACTAGAAAGGGACAAAACAAGATTTTTAAACAAATTAAAAAATCACCATCTAATCTGCAATATACATGTACGTCTCTGAACGGGCCGAACCTGAATAATAATAAGGTGTATAATTTGTTTTTCCCATCAACATGTTAAGACTCGTTCAGATACATTGTACATGTATGATGATGCAATATTACAACTTTTTTATTCACTTAAAGGTAATACAAAGTTTTCGTATGGGGTCATGAAATTGGTTCAAATTAACGTATTTGAAGCATACGCAGTCTTACAATATTCAATGATCGTTGTCGCGATTGAAATCGAGTGTGAAGTGATGAAATTGGAAATAATAAATTCTTTACAGTGAATATAGCACCCTCTCAAGACTGATATTACTTCAGCTTCAAAACAATTTTTCTTGACTACAATCGACCAATTTGCTATTCCCGTTTGGAAATTACATGTACATAACAGAATTATCATGTACAATGATTTGTGAGCTTCTTTTTTTTTTAGGGGGGGGGGGGGAAGTGTAAATCTGGGAAAAACTTGGGATAGGCCTACTCTTGAAATTGCTGTTTATTCAAGTTATGACAAGCTGAAAAGTTTAGACCATCCAAGCATTTGTGAGTAGTCCCCTATACCCATATATGTGTGCAGTGCCTGTGATCTCCAGCAAGACCAAGTCCATTTCAATCATTTCGATCATTCCCAAACTTCACAAGACACATCAATTCTTACGTACATACATAACATTTACATGTACGTAATCAACCTTGCATCCATTGCTTCCAACCTGTTTCTATCACATTGTTCTTGCATGACTAAAACTCATCTTTGTCTTCAAGCTTTTTGAACTTTCGTAAAATAAGAAAAATAATATTGGATTCTTATATAGCGCACGTATCGACCTTGCAAGGTCCTCAAGGCGCTCTAACAGTACCCGGCTATGCTAGGCTGCCGATTTCGACGCTCACAACATTTAAGGAATTCCTTCCTACCGGTACCCATTTAACACCAATGTAACTGTGCAGGTATATTTCATGCCAAGACGGTTGGGCACGAGAATAGGGGAAACATTGTGTTCACTTACAAGGAATTTTATCCATCACGTCGCTTATCTTGTTCTTCATGTTGGTGCCCGCATTTGCAAAGGCACCTCCAATGCCTCCTCCTCCTCCTCCCCCGCCATCCGCAGCGCCCTCTGTGGGGCGGGGGGTGCAGCTGCGGACTCATTAGGGACTGCTGCTTGTGAGACCTCTGGGTCGGCCATTCTTTTGTGTGGTGTTTATACTACGGTCTGGATGGATTTGCAAAGCACGGCGACATCAATATCTGCACAAAAGAAATAAAAGGATGGTTTTGTAAGAATTTGAATTTTAAAGGCATCATTTAAAGCCCCACTGTCCTACTTGTAGCTATTTGCTCCCTCTATACACTGTATCTATAAAACTTCCCCTATCAGTGCCTGTTGGTTCCCCATGATCCTCTATTTCTTACATGTATGTTATTTGAGAGCTGAGTTGAGCCACCTGTTAGTGACCTCGCTGTGTGGTCTAATCCCTCCTAGTCACACTAGTGTTGATAAGCTGTAACAATGTTAAATCTGAGATGCATGCCCCTACTGTATGTGTTATCAGTGTCTGTGACATGGTGTAATATTGAAGCCCTAAACAAATTGCTATTCAAAATGATCAAGCAGTGCCTCAAAAAAGTAAAAATCTTTGAGTGACCGGTTTTACCATACTCGTTTTCTCCAATAGACTGTAGTGTTATGAAAACCGTCAGGAAAACACACAATTTGATTTTGATTTCCAGTCATAAATTTTGATAATCAGACAGAAGATCGGCTTGTAAAAGTCATGGGGTTCCTGACTGACTTTAAGGTTTTTAATTATCATTGCAGCATTCTTGAGCTAAATCCAGGATTTTTTTTCAGAATCTGAGACAAAGTTACCCAATCCCTTTAAGGTTTGTAGAATAATAAAATACATTTGTAAAATGTACATGTCATGAACATGTGATTACCCCGACCAATGAAAATTTTCTGCACAGTATAAAGAACTGTTGGTTTACAAATGCATTGTACATGTGTACTGTGAACTTTCGGGTGCATGAAATTTTTCTGAATATTGCGAGTGGTTCAGAAAATGTTCAAGCCGTGTAATAATTGACTCATAAATGACAAATCACTAAATTCTTGCAATTTCCTAAAGTTTTGTGTTAAGAAATTTTTCTGGTTTTACAGTTCTAACTGTATGGCTACATTTATGCAATCCACTATTAAACTGATAAAGAAATGGGTTGCATACACACTTGAACAGTTAACAGATGTTTAATGAGGCCCCAAACAGCCGATTGTACACCATATACTGTCACATTAGGGACTGTTAGATTTGCACAACGACAACGTGGATTGCTACGATCGACATCCTTTTAATGCACTGCCTTGAATGGACGTCACACGTATCAGTCCACGCAAATCTAAAACTCCCTAATATCCCCTTTTAAAGAGCCTGTCACTTACACATGAACTTGCCATTTATAACACTTGTGTAAGTGTAGGAACAATAGTGCAGTTAGTGATGTAAACGCGGTTGATCCCTATATAGATTATTGATTGTAACAGTATGGCATCATGCTGTGCATGTACATGTACATGTATGTACTGTATACATGTATGCATGTATGCACTGAATACCAGTAATCTTTACTTCATGTACATGTACAGTATCTCAATTAGTCAATCAAAACAATTCCAGCACACATTTTTTTATAATACTTCTTGCATTCCAGCAATCTAACATGTAGCTTTAATAGTGCCAAGACAATGCATCTCCAATTACAGATTCCCATGGAGTTTAAACGAAAGCAAAGGAATCATCAAATTGGTCACATAACATGACACATCTAGCAGCTGACTCCTGATAAGAAGCCAGCAATATTGATAAAATGCTCTCCCTGAATCATAGATAGAAACCATCTTCCTACCTGTGCTGATTTTCCAACATTTCAACCACATAAACACTGCAATGCACCTCTGTAATTGCGTACAGTATGTTCAAATGTTCAATACGAAGCATAAGAATACAGCACTATACACACAGCTGAAGAAAAGAAAAAGAATGTATTTCTATCACAAGCCTCCGTCTTAAGTGTGTATTGGGTGTACAAAATGACATCCACCCCTATTATTACAATGCCTTCGTCATAGCAAGCTGTAATCTCGTTCGCTGGACTTCGTACGACAACGAAATGATATCAAAAATGAAATACAAACAAATTGAAACTACATGTACCAAAGGAACAAGAAATTTACAAAGTTACAAGTTAAAAAAAAAAAAAAACAGTCATTCACCATTTTTCTTTGCATCAGATATTTCAAATTGTCAATGAAAGCATTCCACAATAAATGCCAAAACATGTGTACTGCTGATTGATTGTTATGTTTGATTGGTATGTTTAATTTATTGAGGAATGTCTAAATCGTGTAGCCACTCAAATGTAGTTGAAGTTGTTCCACATGCACTAGGTGGTTGGTTTGCTCACTACTGTTATGTGTAAATAAATGACCTAGGGCCTACATGTATAAAATGGACCCATACACTTTTATCAAGAACACAATTCCGGAGCTTAACGTGCAGCACAATAAGATATTGTAATGAACAACAGTCTTTAGCTTAAAAATCCATATTCATTATGGCGGTACAAACAAACTTCATGTACATGTACAAGTACATGTATGTTCAGTGTGAAGAAATAGTATTAATGAAAATGAAAATCAGATGTGGTGTTCCTCAAGGTTCAGTTTTAGGACCGACATTGTTCAAACTTGATCAGTATCTGATAATTTCAATTTCAGATTATTCCTGATGACTCATTTATTTCATACCTTCATACAAATCTAGAGGAATACACATGTAGGTGTCAATGAAGCGAATGTAATCAAGAAAATACAAGAATGATGCATTAATGGTGCAAATACATGTAGGCTTACTGCCAACTCAATGAAAACGAAACGCATGATAAAGATCAACTTGAGTTTCTGGTAAAAAAATTATTAAAAAAATTCTCACAGAATCAAACGAAACTTACACTGAATATTCAAGATTACATATAAATGTCATTTGCCAAACAATTTTGGTAGAAAATGTATACTGGCTGAGTAATGAGCATAGAAAGATAAGGAAATCAAGGTAAGTAACCCTGACACCATTTGTGTACTGGTAGTCCAATATACATCTTTCTGTGTACAGTGCTTGTTACTTTACCAAGACTGGGCCAAATTTATTATGATTTTGATGACTCCAGAACCTTGCAGTACACACCAATACTTACAGTACATGCTACATCAACTTTTGATCCATTTGATCTGATCCATTCCACACCTTTTCTTTCACAATGCAATCGCACGACCAGAACTAAACTTTATCTTTAATTGGCAGCAGAAGAAGAAAAAAAAATGATTTTCTTGAAAACTGGAAATACTGTAGCAGGAGAGGAAGTGAAGAGGTTGATGAAGCAACCTTTGAACAAGTACATGTACATGTAGGTATAACAACTGATAAACATCCAAGTTGGCACAGTCACATTTCGAAACGTTAATTCATGTAAAATGTTTACGAGTAGGCATTCTATTCCGGTTGCAACATTTTGTCCCAAAATATTGGTTTTTATTATAAGGCATTCAGAGCTGCAACCATATGAAATCCAGGTGTGGGGGAGTATGTATATACCGTATTTGCCGGCGTAAAGGCCGCAGTATTTTTGGAAGAGAAAATATCAAAATGTCGGGGTGCGGCCTATGCAGCGAAAGAGTAAAAAAAGATTTTTTTTTTTTTTTTTTTTTTTTTTTTTAAGTTTCGATTTATGGCGCTATGCCTGGCAATGTCTCCCAGCTCAGTAATCAGTGTGTTGACTCACCACTCGGAAACTACAACAACACTAAAATTTGTCTGTCATCTTGGTTTGAAAGTAATCTTTCTAATAGATCTCAATATGTAGTTTATAATAATAATTCCTCAATTTTTTTTATATAACAAATGGTGTACCACAAGGTTCTATCCTAGGACCTGGTACTCTATTGTTTTTAATTCACATTAATGATCTTACACATTCTTCTAATAACGACATTGTTACTATTATTTGTGACAAGTTTACAAGCACAAATCAGCGCTTTTAACTGCACCTCGATATTAAATGAAGGTCCTTCCCCGCGTGGGTTTTCGGCAACAAAACAACAAAACAATCGCCGGCAAATACGGTACTGTACATGTACTGTACATGTACTGTACATGTACATACATGTACAAGAGTATCTTTAATTGTGAATTGTATACCCCAATATGGCAGTGCGTGCCATCACATCTACATGTACATGTAGTTACTGGTGGCCTTGGCGGGCTCATGCTCACTTTCTATTTCAAGATGTAAAAATCCTCAATGTTTTTTATACGGTATGCACCACTTACATGTACATGTACATGTAACTGTACAATGTATGACCAGAGTAATAATAACATACCCTACTCTTTGTTAGATTATTGTGATACAATTACAGCGCAAATGTTCAACAAGACAAAAAGAAGTTTGACATGTACATGTACAAATAACAGTTTTTTCTAGAAACCGAATGGCCCAAAGGCAGTCAATTGGGAGTTTGTTGGAACATGTAGTTGGTTTGGCGGTGTGACCGTGAGTAATCGAAATTCATTGTTACCTCGAAGGTGAGTTGTGGGTAACCGACGAGTCCTCCGAAGTATCCAAGCAAAGCGTTCACGAGGGCCAGGAGAGAAAGAAAAGCTATGAGGTTTGCAGCGACGTTCAGGACCAGTGGAATGGCTTGCGATGCTCCATTAGCAGCTGCTTCAATGACGTTTAGCTCGTCCCTAAAACAATGAAGGTATTTATCTTTAAACATCCTTAAAAATGGGTTTCGACTTCTGAAAAGGGCGAAAATGTGGAAAATATCACTATAGAACTGCCACAGTTGGATGCTTTCTTTTGAAATGTCCTCATAGTCCAACTGAAAATGCGTAAAACAGTTTAAAGGAATCTAACAAAAAAAGTTAAAAAGTTATATAATTTAATGACGTAATCACTATACGGATGGGCACTTCAAATCGGCTGCATCTGTAATGACCCTGCGAGGTAGTGCAAAACAACTCTCCCTCTTGTTTCATCATACAAAATGACTACAATGTCAATTTTTCTCAATTTATATCTCAGGAAGGTATTTCCTATTTAGAGGACCTATATTATGCTATTCATAATATATTTTGAGTAGTGCTCTAATGGAAAAGGCAATTAGGAGAAAAACAAATGTAATGATACTTTTTACGAAACGAGCGGGAGATTTGTCCGTGGCAACGTTACAATCCACTGACAAAACTGGCAATTTGAGATTGTCATAGATTTAGTGATCTCATATGCCAAACATTCATAACTCTCTTATTCTTGGAGTGCAATTTATTTCAAGCTGTCACTATTATGTTTCTTTTATTTTTCTGCTTTCATACAAAAAAGTGCTCACTAACCCCCCCCCCCCCCCCCCCCCCCCCCCCTACTGAGCGAATTTTCGGCCGGCGCGATTTTCAAATCTTCGGGAGGAAAAAAAAAAAAATTGGGCCCCCTCCCCTAATAAATCCTGGATCCGCACCTGGTCCCACGAACCCATATATATGTGCAGTGCTGTTCAGTCAACTTAGAAAAAGAAAAAAGGGAATGATTCCAAAATACTATAGATGCAATACACAATTATTCTTGCAGTTATAAGACTCGAGCCAATATAACTATTATTGTTTTACGAACATGTAATCCTGATATCCAGCTCAAGGCCATCCAATATTATATAATTATAATTCCTCCCTACCCTTTATCCAACACCATGTCCTCCTCGGTGATGTGCTTCGATTTCTCGGTCTCTGGGTAGAAGAGCTTCGACATCGCCAGAGCTGCGGGGGCCGACATCACCAAGGCGGTTATGAGATGGGTCGCATCGATACCGTAGAGAATGTACGCTCCAAGGGTGCTTCCTGCAACGGTCGCGAAGCCACCCGTCATGACGGCGTGGATCTCAGAGCGCGTCATGTCCTTCAGGTACGGCTTGATCAATAGTGGCGCCTCCGTCTATATAGTAGAGAAAATGTGTTGGTTTTGTTACCTGAAATTATGTTTCATGTCTTTATGAACGAATTTAGGCGCTTAAAAACTCCCCAAAATAGAAAACTGTAATCATATCTACGTAATGGCTTGGAAAGATATTACTCCTGTACAATATACATTCATGTTATTTCACATATTGCTTTTCTAATGATGCTTTTATAATTTCTTATTACCATGCGTTGCCTGCTTAGTTTAGTGATTCGAAGGCAAATAGAAATCTTTTATTTTGAAAAAAATTCTCTGAAATTTGTCTTATGAAGAAAAGAAGAAAAAAAAATCATTTAGTTTTGATAGCTATAAAAAGATAGTAACCCACTGTATAAATTCACATTTTCTTCTATTCCACGATGTTGTTTCAGCATTACTGTTACCATGCCAACAAAGATCTTGACTTCTTTGTTCATTGATTCGAAGGCAAACATTAATGTCATATTAGAAAGAAAGTGTCTCTAAGATTAACTTTTCAATGGAATGATCATTAAGTAGTCATAGCTTGGAAAACACTACCGTAGTATCATGTTACTATGCCAACGAAAATGTTGATTGCTTTTTTTTATAGTGATTCGGAGGCAAACATTAATGTTGCCTGCTGCATTGAGAGATTCCATGTCTTCATAGTGCGTTGCTTCCACCAGACTACTTTCTGGATGACAGCCTGCATCACGCCCAGTACTAAAGCACCGAGATGACAGCGCTAAAATAGATGTAGTCAGAGATGATGGGAAAGACCTGAGAAAAATTAAAATGTGGAAGAGAAAAGATATGGCAGGAATTAATTCCTTGAAATGCTAGAGCGCCGCAGTGGCTGCCTTGCTAAAGCCAGGGTAATAATCAGGGCGGCGCCAGGAGCGTCACAACGTGACGGACATGTGCGCCATCTAAGAAGCCACCATTATTATTATTATTATTATTATTATCACAACAGCCACAGATGCGGGGAAAGAAAATCTCGATGTTGATACCGTTACAGAATATCCAAACATAAAGATTAAATTTAAAAGTTAGATAATTGAAATGTAAAATATATGATGATGAGTTTAATTCGGAGCAGTTTATGTTCTGTCATCCCCTCCCCTCCCCTAAATAATAATAATAATGGAAGCTTAAGGAGGTCAGGCTCTTGCTGTGTTGCACATATGTTATTTAGAAAGGCATTATGATACATAAAAACACATTGAACACATTGGTATAAGAAATGAGCCATCCTCCAAGAAGTATGTTTATAGTTATGCAATGATAATGCTATTTGGAGATGAAAGATTATGCATGAAACATCAAATAGTTCTTTATTGTATCAACGGCTCATCGTTATGTCCCGATACTTTAATTTCGGGATAAGTAGGGTTTGCTATTTACTACCAATCTAAAAGTGTCCAAGTATCTTGCCATGACCATGTCGTCGACTAGGTTAAACTTAATAATGTTCCTGGAAATTTTCACCGAGTAGGAAGATTGCGCCAGAAGAGGATAAATTGAGGAACTAGTAAACTGAATCACTGAGTCACTCGAATAGAACATAGCATGGATATGTCCTTAGGATAAATAAGCCCAACAACACCTGCAGGGCAAGTCCCCAAAAGTCGCCCTCCACGCGACCCAGAAGCAGGTTTGAGGAGAATAAGAGCTACATCTATATTGCGCACGTATCCGTCCTACTACAATTACAGGGTCATATCTGAACAAAGCTGTTATTTACTTGTTGGCGTGAAAATGACATCCTCCATTGTCCCGTCGTTGTATTCTACGTAGACCACATATCTACTGCCGGGGACCAGCCCCTCGAAGGTGGAGAACAGAGGGCACTTCTGGTTGGTTGGGAGACACATGAGCATGTCACTTCATAGGGTGCTGCAGAGTTCCTTCAGACATACTTGCCTACCGTTGGTAGTAGCATCCAGCCAGATGATGACCTGAAGGTTGGTGTTGGAGACGGTTGGTGTTGGTGTGGCTTGTTGTTCAGGATTCAAGAAGCAATCTTTAATGCCATGTATATGGTCAGGAACATGACTTCCATAGGGTTACATACAACATAGATATTTGTAAATTAATGGTTAAGAAACTGAGAAACTGTGGTGGAAGTGGTAATGATGCCCAACTCTATGTGGCATTCAAGCAAGATGTTGACCATACATCAGCATGTCTCTGTATTGAGAATTGTATCAGCGATATGCAGCAATGGATGGAGAGAAACTTCCTGAAACTAAAAAATGAGAAAACTATCTTGTACTCATCGGCTCTCTTCACCAGCATTCTGTCTGTGACTTGCTAGAACTTACAATTAATGGTGTTGTCCTGCCTGTTTCAGATGCTGTTAGAGATTTAGGTGTCTATCTTGACAAATTCCTGGACATGGATGGACATATCTCAGCTATCTGTAAGAGTGCATACTATCATTTGTGGAACATTGCCAAAGTTTGAAAGTATCTCTCTATTTCAGATGCTGCAAAAGTCCTCCATGCCCTTTTCACATCGCGAGTGGACTGCTGCAATGCGGTCCTTGCTTGCATTCCTCAGCCTCAAGACTACAGAGAGTCCTAAAGTTCAGACATTAGTAAGAAAATATGAACAGGTTATTCCAATCTGGCTTCCTGTGTCAAAGAGAATCAAATATAAGATCCTAATGCTGGTTTTCAATGCACTCCACAATGCTGCTCTTGATTATATCAAGGATCTCCTTGCCATGAAGCAAAGCCTATTATTTATTCAACTAATTTATTTTATTTCAATATTATTTCACTACAGTTGCACACTTCAGCCAGAGGTTGTTCTTCAGAGCGCCCGTAAAACACGTCGTACAACAAAGAAATATATAAACATATACACATCAAATCAACTTAAATAGATAGACAATACTTCACAAATAAACTGCATTTGAAAGGATTAAAAAGAAATGAAATGAAATGTCTTTATCCTTTTCGACCTTCTGCATCCCCTCTGTTTGTAGTCCTTTGTAGCCAAACCACCCACTACGGCCATTGGGCATTTGGAAACGTGGCTCCAGTTATGTGGAACAGACTGCCCAGTGACGTTAGAAACATCACTTGTCTTACTAGTGGGGCTCGTTGTTGTCGTTCTGACCTGTTAGAAAGTTCAGGATTCAAGATTCAGAATCAAGATGCAAGTTTTATTGTCCACAAATAGTCAGAAATTTGACTATCATAAGCGTTACAAAGAACATAAGACATATGCATAGACATAAAGGCAAAGAAACTGTGTTGGAAGTGGTAATGAGAAGTGGATTGAGATTTGAGATGGATGGGTCATATGTTGAGAAGGGAAGATGATGAACCTGTGAAAGGAGCATGGGATCTGGAAGTGGATGGCATAAGAGGGAAAGGATGACTAAAGATTTTATGGAAAGATATGATGAAGAAAGCAGTGAGGTTGCTCTAAATGAGGAGGATGATATTCGATGTCACCGTTGTAATGTTGAAGGCACTGCCAAGGGAACCTAGTGTATTTCAGAAATATATAGGAATGTGAAGACAGTAGAAGAAGGTATCTTGAGGAGAACAAAAAGAGCCATGACATTGGGTAGCCTTCCGGTCTTCAGTATCTGCCTGGGGGAGGCCATATGCTCTCATATAGTGTCTTCTTCCAGGTTTTGTGATAAATTTCTAAATTGATTTTTTTCTTTCTACGTATCTATGCTTCGCGGCTGCATACTATTAATAATAATAGTAATGCAGACATTTATCATGCGCAAAATATCCACCCAGATGGTGCTCAAGGCACTACTAATAATCAGATTAAATGTATTACAAATAATATGCTGAAAGTGCTTAAAATAGAACAGAACAAAAGATAATTAGGGGAAAATACTTTTCATTAGATAGATGTTTTTATATTTGTCTGAAAGTGATCGACAGTTTCAATGATTTTGGAAGTCTGTTCCACGAGCGGAAAGCTGCAGAGATAATCGCTCCCCCCTGATCGTTTAGCTTTGTGGACAATTACAATAGATTCATTTTAAAAGCAGAGACCAGAGCGACATGGCTTGTGATGATTGATGAGAGAAGAGATGTATTGTGGCTCTGCTTAAAGCTAACATTGTAGTTACTCACTTGGACTGATCTTGACAGGGTTGCTTCTGGTCTGGGCCATTCCTGCACCAGCGAGCGTGGTGATGTTCACCTCAACACCTGGTCCGTCCATCAAACCCATGATCGTTCTCTCCAACTGCAAAGAGATCCTGTCGAACACATTGATAGGACTGTATGGACCACTGCCGTCGTCGTACATGATCTCGTAACCGACGAGCTGGCTTTCAGGACGAGACCACTGCAGGGTGACAGAGTCTTCGGTGACCCAAGTAAAGACAGCGCGCACTGGCTCCAGAGGTACTGTAACAGATAAGATAATAGTAATAAAAATAGTAATAATAATAACAATAATAATACTAATGATAAAAATAATAATGATAATAATATCAACAATTATAGTTCTTTGTGTCACATTATGTCTCTATGTGCTTCGAAAGGACTTTGATATCATTAGCTGGCTTTAGCTCCAGCACCCGCAGTGCTCAGTGTATTCAAGGATTACATCCTATGCAGGTACCCACTTACCACACCTTGGTTAAGTGTGGCAAATGTAGATTAATATCTTGCAAAAGGATGATGGTACTGCGGCAGGGGTTTGAACCTTGGACCTGGTGGTTCACATTACAGAGACTTATCCACTAGACCACAACACCTCTCTAGACATGGAAGGTAATTGGAGCACCAAGAATGTCAAGTCTGACCAACATGAGCGGTATACAAGAACGGACTATTATTGGTAGAAGAAGTGATAAATAATGATAATAATATTTGATTCTTTTATATCGCACGTATCGACCTTGCAAGGTCCTCAAGGCACTCCAACATTACCCGGCTATGCTAGGCTGCCGATTTCGACACTCACAGCATTTAAGGAATTCCTTCCTACCGGTTCCCATTTAGGACGTGGGTGGAGAGTGGCAAGTGTAGATTAATTAATGTCTTGCCAAAGGACATTAGTGCCGCGGCGGGACTCGAACCGGGACCCTGTGATTCACAGTCCGACGACTTATCCACTACGCCACAACACCTCCTCTTGCAGATAAACATGTACATGTACAGAGTTTCAAAGGTACACATGTAAATGTATATTGCTTTAAATAGAATAGCAAACTTCAAGGAATCCTCCTGAAAATGTCATTCATGTGATAATACCCTGCCAAACACAATTATATGTGTGTGTCTGGCGTAATTGGCAGACGTGGAACAGCGCCCCATGCACATCGATCTGGTATATTATAAGGGTTAAAGGCTCCGTACAGTTTTGGTAAGCCCTCAAAAACCTTTCGTCAAATTTCTTTGATTTTAGATGATATAAATAGCAAGATACTAGCAATACTGTGAAGTTATCCTCCTCGAGTGAAATAGAAATATAGAAAAAAAATTAAATACTATCCTGGGATGTAAATTCTCACAACAGTAGCCTGCACTACTCGCATGTAAAACCTATGAGGATTGTGTGTATATGCTAGCTACAGTCAACACACACACTGTCTCAAACTGTCTCACACTGTCCTTAAGCCAAATGCTTGGATTAATGTGCCAGGAACCTTTGGGGGGGGGGGGGGAGGGTCCTATCGTAAGGGTGTGTATAGCCATTATCTATCCATTCCTTGTCGATATTTACACTACATTTCATCTAGAATCATGGATAGAATACCAAATCATCTTGAATATACATGTATGCTTTGATACAAGGAGAATTAAATTTCTTTTTTGATACCAAACATGCCCATTGTACAGGAGCTTTAATAACTGACTTACATGTAAACTGTCGAAGAGAGAGAACTTCTCCGGCGCACTGCAACTCAATCTCGATGATGTACTCCTCTCCCGGCATCAGTCCTGAGAAGCTAGCCTTGAGGGAACTTCTGATGACTTCTGAGAACAGCTCAGTGTTGTTGCTTGCCAGGTTGAGGTTGACAATGTAGTCGGTGATTCCTGCAATCTCGGTCCATGTGATTGAGATGGATGTCGAGGTCACCTCTTCCACGTTAATAGTCCCAGGCTCCCTTGGGTCTGTGGGTGCATGGATGGATCACATGATATAAGTACTGCATGCTCAGGCATTCAATATAACAAAATATATGAACCAACAAATTCAGAATTTCCTGGAAGATGTTATATTGCATTAGGCCGCAGACCGAGGTTGAAATATAATGGCATGAGGGGAACTTTGATCTCGGAGGTAAGTATTCATATGTGTTTATTGCACATAGAAATGGTGTCGAACCCTCTCCTTAATTTACCTGCCTTGAGGTCAGATGCGCGCAGCTAAGCAATTGCAAACAACAGGTACGCACAGAGATAAGAGGTGCACTTTTGAAAGATAATAGCTTCCTAATTTTTTGGCCCATTCCATCTAAAATTTCACCTGTCTACTTTCAGATTGTTCTGCTTTCCTCAAGGGGAGTTTGACAAACTTGGGTGTTTACTGGAGGACAGGAGTTTTCAATCACCCAAAGTGGACTACACTTTATTGACAGACAGATCTTAGATAATAAGGTCTTTTTCATTGTGTCAACAAGAACGCTGTTCTATAGTCGGAGCTTATGTTCACTCAGGTAGTCCACGTACGTCCCTTGCTCATTTCTCTTTGAAATCCTTTCAATTTCAGTAAGGGCCTGTTCGTCGCCCTTGTGAACATGATATGATGATCGACGTCATGTGTGTGGTGTACTAGTATTTGGCTTGCATATCTGAATTTCCTGCGCCCTTTCCACTTTGAATGAGCTCAAATTACTTACAGGTAAACTATGACCACTATGGCGCTGACCCCAAAACTGTACAATCTGCAGCTCGATCCCCTCTGCATGTCATCCGCAGAATATGCTTGCACAGTTTGGAGCAGATCAGCCCATGTGAAGAAGCTTGATACCATGACGTAAAGTCCCCGTAGCAAAATTGAAATACCCCCTTGCTCCTTGCTTGGATGGAGGTATTGGGAGGCTGCTAAGAACCACTGAATATTTAATTTTTTTATATGCTTTATACTCTGGGTAAACGCTCTTTTTATATGTTATATAGTGTGTTTCTACATAAATTGCTGAACTCTTTTCTGTCTGTATTTTTTCACTTTCGATGTAAATTGTACGTATTTTGTCTTGTCTATTTTTGTTTTTGTTTGGTAATGTTAAAAAAAATTGAGGTCAACTTAAGAGTGCAATGGAGCTGGTGGTTATATTTTGTACTTCCCCCCCCCCCCCCACCAGTTCCAAGTACAAGTACAGGCGAATAAACATGAGAAAATGAGAAAAAGAGAAAATTAGAAAAAAAGAAAAAAAGAACCACTGATCCCTAGGTCAACAATGTGGTTTTGCCAGTGATCGTTGCTGGAAGGGAGATTGCATATTAACCCCCATAGTAACCACTGACCTAGAGGTCAGTGGTAGTAACCCTAACGTGCCTGCACTGAGTTGGGCAGCCGAGCGCAGACGAAGTGTCCCCCTATAACAATCCGCACATAAATTAGTAAGGCTTCTGGAAAGACATTAGTGATTGCTTAAATGAAAAATGGAGAAGAAAGAAAGTGAAATGCAAGAAGTCTGCAGACTGACTAGGGAGAATCGATATCGGCGGCCGTGCCAAACAAGTAAAATAAAATAAAAAGACTAGGCCACAATAGACTGCGAAGGCGAGGAAGGAATGGAAGAAGAAGTAGAAGAAAAAGAAAGAGCCGCGAACCGGAGAGAGAGAGAGAGGGAGGAGAGAATTAACATTTCTGAGAGAGGGGGAGAGAGAGAGAGAGAGATAGGCGGACACCCGGGGAATGGAAAGACAGACATAAGGGATTGAGAGAGAGGTGGGAGAGACAGAGAGAACAAGGGAAGGGAGAGATAGATGGAGAGGAGAGAGAGGGGAGAGAGACTGAAGGAGGCAGCCTGAAAGAACCAGAGTCGAAGAGAGAGAAAGAGAGAGAGAGACGGAAAGGAGTGCGAACGCTACGATGTTTGGAAAACAAGTTGATCAGCTGTGTTAGGCCTCCTCTGCAGCAAGTAAAGAAGGGGGTGATTTAATACCCGACTTCATGGCCATTTACTTGGGTTTGCGAGCTACGAGGGTCAGACGTAATGATACACTCAATAACACATATCGAAAGCTAACAGGCTGCCTGAAACCAACAAAAGTTGAGGAGATATATCACCTCGCTGGCATCGGATCTCCTAACCAAGGACGCTCTAACAACTGCCTAAAGGAACGTATGAAACAGGCGACAGATGACAGACACATGTTATACGGCTACCTGCCACCCAACAGACACCATATGTACCTCAACACAGCTTCCTCGATTCTGTCCCACCACCTGAGCAGATTCCTCCACCACCAGCCAAGCCCATACTCATCAAAGGACTAAACCTGAAGTGGCCAGAGATTGGAAATGCCTAAATCTAATGCGGACAAGAATGTGGCGGTGTAAGGCTAACATGGCAAGATGGAGCTATGCCCATGCAAAAGATACTCTCTGAAACTTTGGAGAGACTCAGACGAAGGACCACATCTTGAAGTGCGGCGGAACAAGTCGCACAGATGAAGACCTGGCCCTTGTAAATGAGACAGCCATCTTAGCCATTGGGCGATGGAAGAATTTAATTTAAATGAATTTAATTCAATTAAGAAACTGTACATTAATCTTGATCTAAGGAGACACGAACGAACGAACGACGTACAGGTACAGAGACTAGATACCGACATTGCTATAGAGAACGGCATTCAACATTGAGGTGATCGTCAACACCGAGCTGAACACACATTCTCTACAGGGTAGACATCATGGCGCATGTGCAGGTCGTCAGAACGACGCAATGTTGCAATTTACTATGTAGATGTGACAATCGAAGAATCCTTAATGTATGCTGTCACCACTCTCTTCAGAATCATTCTCTGTGAATCACCTTATACTTCTCGACAAGCTCTATACCATGACAAAGGACTCCCATCTGACTAAGCTTATCCAAATGTTCCTGGAAAATGTTGAGCTCAACGGGAAGCGCAGCAGAGGGAGGAAACAAAAGAATGGTATACCTCAGGGCAGCGTACTTGCTCCTGTCCTATTTAATGTTTATACCAACGACCAGCCAGTGTACCCAGGGACAAGAAGCTTCATCTATGCTGATGACCTTGGCATAGCAGCTCAGTATTCCCACATAGACAAGATAGAAGCCACTCTTTCATCAGCCCTAGACAACCTGATAGTCTACTACAAAAACAACCATCTGAAGGCTAACCCTGCCAAGACCCAGGTTAGCTTGTTCCATCTCCGCAACCACAATGCCAGGAGGAAGCTGTCCCTGAAATGGAACGATGTTTAATTGAAACACTGCGAAACAACCTCCTACGGAAACTGGCAAACTCATCTTGGGGTGCCAATTCCTCTACGCTGAGGTTAACTGCTCTTGTGTTGTGTTACTCTGCAGCAAAATATGCCTGCCCTGTATGGGGGGAGATAATCCCATACAAAGAAAGTTGATGCAGCACTCAACGACAGCTGCAGATGCATCACTGGCTGCCTCAAGCCCACAAATGTGGACAGCTTGCACACCCTGGCCGGCATTGCTCCATCCGATGTCCGCAGAACAGTTGCAAGTAGGACTGAACGCAGTAGACAAGTTGAGGGCACCCGCCATCCCCTTTACTCCCATCAACCGGCCCCTACCCGCCTGGAGTCAAGGAAGAGCTTCCTTCATACAGTCCAGCCACTGTCACAACCTCCTCATTCAACCAGAGTGATCTTGTGGGAAGAGAAACGTTGTGAAAACCACCACCATGAAAAGCTACCAATCCCAACCAAGGAACAGCTGCCACCTGGCCATATATCTGACTGGAAGACGTGGAAGTCCCTCAATAGGCTTCACACAGGGGTGGGGCGATGTAAATACAACATGCATAAATGGGGATACACTGCTGTCACAGACACCGACTGCGAGTGTGGAACATCCGTGCAAATTATGTCCCACCTATTAAGATGTCCACTCCTAATTGACCAATGCTGCCTGGAGGACCTAGTGGCAGCAAATGAGAAGGCTCTTCAGTGCGCACAAGCCTGGCAGAGCAATTGAGGTCAGATGATGGACACGAAAGAAGAATACAAAGTGTATATATCCTTTTCTTTAACATGATATTATTTAGTTTTGTTGCTTGATAAATCTTTATAGATATTTATCACAATTATGAAATTTTAGATGTTTACCATTTCGTTTAAAAAAAAACTTTCATTCAGTTCTGAGTTTTGAGTTTTTGATCGACCGGGTGGGTAGTTCATGCACAACATTACTTATTATAGGCTCTGTATAAGCTTGGCCTTTTAGAACTCTTGTGAGTAATGTGCGGCGGGATTCCATATCTTAAACTGCTCGCGAACAGAGCAACAAGACCAAGCTCTGTAATTATTAGGATCTCTGTCCAGTAGTGCCGTGTTTGTGCCATCGAACGGGATCGACCAAATCAATTGATTCATAATACATATATATATAATATCTTTTCCGTAACATGAGAGTAATTTTAATAGTTTCATACTTTTAATTAAAAGTAATATTAATTGTTATTGTATAATTGTTTTAAATGGGGGCACGCTACAAGAGTCCTATCTCGCACCCCGGGGCAGCGTGTCTGACACGGCCGGTTGTAGCAACTACTCCGAAGATCAAGATTTAATCTTGATCTAAGGAGACACGAACAAACGAACCACTCTCTTCAAAAGATTCATTTGTAAAGGAAAGGTCAACTGTAAGAAAAGGCCATCATGTTAAATTCTGGAACTGAAAGACGATAGAAAGTTAGATACATTAACTGTACATTAATAAATAAGACCCATCACACCAACAAAACACCATAACGTCACAGATATGATTTTAAAGACCATTCTTAAACAGAAGAGATTCTTAGCTTTACAATGACATAAAACTCATCAGAATTGAAGGGGGAAAAGAGAATAATAGTAATGCAGAAATTTACAATGCCCAACAAATCCGTCCAGATGGTGGTCATGGCCCTTTTAAGAATCAGATTAAATGTAATAACAAAAATACGCTGAAAGTGCTTAAATAGAACAGAACAAAAGATACTAAGGGGAAAACACTTGTCATTCTGTAGAGGTGTCGTGGTCGAGTGGATATGTCACCGGACTGTGGATCACAATTCCCGCCGCAGCACTAGTGTCCTTTAGCAAAACATTAATCTACATTTGCCACACTTGTTCCAGGTGAGTTACATGGGTACCTTGCAGGAATTAATTCCTTGAAATGCTAGAGCGCCGTAATGGCAGCCATGCTAAAGCCTAGGTAATAATTTCCAAAGCTCTTTGGGAGCGCATAGAGAAGTTAAAATGTGATATGCACTATACAAAAACCTAAAATACTATAATTATTATTAGATGTGTTTTTCTTTGAAAGTGATCTACAGTTTTAAAATCTTTTAATGATTTTGGGAGTCTGTTCCCCAACAGGGAGCTGCAGAGATAATCACTCCCCTGTTATCGTTAAGATTTGGCGTGTGAAGGTTGATAAGAGAAGAGATGTATTGTGGTTAGGCTTAAAGCTAACAGTGTAGTTACTCACTTGGACTGATCTTGACGGGGTTGCTTCTGGTCTGGGCCATTCCTGCACCAGCGAGCGTGGTGATGTTCACCTCAACACTTGGTCCGTCCATCAAACCCATGATCGTTCTCTCCAACTGCAAAGAGTTCCTGTCGAACACATTGATAGGACTGTACGAACCACTGCCGTCGTCGTACATGATCTCGTAACCGAAGAGCTGGCTTTCAGGACGAGACCACTGCAGGGTGACAGAGTCTTCGGTGACCAAATTAAAGATGGCGCACACCGGCTCCAGAGGTACTGTAAAAGATAATATAATAATAATAAAAACAATAATAAAAACAATCTATTGATGATGATGATCTACAGCACTTGTATGGGGCCATTTATCTGTTTCAAACATTCAAAGGCGCCCGCTCTTCCAATAGTCATGGACTACACATTTGCTTGAATTAAAAAAAAATGTTTTTGAGGCCTGACTTCAAATCTTTCTAGCTTGTTGATGTCGCAAAGAATAGAAGGGAGGGAGTTTCAGAGGCCTATACTAACGATACAAATACAAATGAAAATAATAATAACAACAACTACCATTCTTGTGTCACATTATGATATTACATCTATATGTGCTTCCAAAGGACTTTGATAACATTACCCTGGCTTAATAGCTCCAGCACCCGCGGTGCTCATTGTATTCAAGGATTAAATCCTACCAGGTATCTACTCTCTACACCTTGGACAAGTGTGGCAAATGTGGATTAATATCTTGCCAAAGGATGATATAGTGCAGCGGCAGGGATTTGAACCTTGGACCCGGTGGTTCACAGTCTGGCCGGAGATTTATCCACTAGACCACAAGACCTCTCTAGACATAGAAGGTAATTGGAGCACCGAGAATGTCAAGTCTGACGACATGAGCTGTATACAAGAACCGACTATTATTGGTAGTAGGAGTGATAAATGTCACTTTCCTCTTGCAGATAAACATGTACATGTACATGTACAGAGTTTCAAAGGTACACATGTAAATGTATATTGCTTTAAATAGAATAGTAAAGTATAAGGAATCCTCCTGCAAATGTCATTCATGTGAAAATACCCTGCCAAACACAATTATATGTGTGTGTCTGGCGTAATTGACAGACGTGGAACAACGCCCCATATGCGCATCAATCTGGTATATTAAAGGGTTATACACCTCTTCTTGCATGTACAGAGTTTCAAAGGTACACATGCAAATGTATATTGCTTTAAATAGAATAGCAAAATATAAGGAATCCTCCTGCAAATGTCATTCATGTGATAATACCCTGCCAAACACATTTATATGTGTGTGTGTGGCGTAATTGGCAGATGTGGAACAACGCCCCGTGCGCATCGATCTGGTATCAAAGGGTTTAGGGCTGTGTACAGTTTTGGTAATCCCTCAAAAACCTTCCGTCAAATTTCTTTGATTTTAGACGAGTACATAGCAAGATACTAGCAATACTGTGAATTTTTCCTCCTCGAGTGAAATAGATATATAGAAAAAAAGAAAAAAAATTATATCCTGCATACTAAGAATCTTGCAATCTGATTGGTCTAAACGAGGTCACATGATAAAAGATAGATAAGTACTATCTACCTGCGATAGGACTTTTGTTGGGGAACTTTTTGCTGCTGCCCCACTTGCCATTGAATACGCGTAGCAAAGTAGGTTACGCGAAATGTCAATGTCAATGTCAAATGAACGCGCATCAACTTTGTTACATTGTATGTATGTTGCACTTTGTAATTTCTAGCTGAAGCTAAACTGTCTGCAGAATCAGTTCTTTTAATTATGTAAAATTCACTTTAAATGGACCTTATTGCGGATGTGGGATATAAAACAAATATTAACCTCCTTTACTCGAGTAATGGATACAAACTATCATCGCCTCAGTGATTTCGGGGCTACCATCATACCTCGCCTTGCGGCTCGGGATGATAGTAGCCCCCCCGAGATCACCTCGGTGATGATAGTTTGTACCATTACCCTCGTAGTCGATTAATATTTGCTTACCATCATGGGGTGTAAATTCTCACAACAGTAGCCTGCACTATACTCGCATGTACAGCCTATGAGGACTGAGTGTATATGCTACAGTCAACACACACACTGTCTCTTTAAGCCAAATGCTTGGATTAATGTGCCAAGAACCTTAGGGGGAAAAGAGTCCTATCGTAAGGGTGTGTATAGCCATTATCTATCCATTCCTTGTAGATATTTACACTTCAATTCACCTGAAATCATGGATAGAATACCAAATCATCTTGTATATGCTTTGATACAAGGAGAATTAAATTTCTTTTTTGAAACCAAACATGCCCATTGTACATGAGCTTTAATAACTGACTTACATGTAAACTGTCGAAGAGAGAGAACTTCTCCGGCGCACTGCAACTCAATCTTGATGATGTACTCCTCTCCCGGCATCAGTCCTGAGAAGCTGGCCTTGAGGGAACTTCTGATGACTTCTGAGAACAGCTCAGTGTTGTTGCTTGCCAGGTTGAGGTTGACAATGTAGTCGGTAATTCCTGCAATCTCAGTCCACGTGACTGAGATGGATGTCGAGGTCACCTCTTCCACGTCAATAGTCCCAGGTTCCCTTGGGTCTGTGGGTGCATGGATGGATCACATGATATAAGTACTGCATGCTCCGGCATCCAATATAACAAAGTATATGAACCAACAAATTCAGAATTTCCCCGGGTTTGTTATATTTCATAAGGCTGCAGACCGAGGATGAAATATAATGGCATGAGGGCAAATTCGCAGTTGGAGGTATTAGTATTCATGTATGTTATATGCAATTTTGGTTATATACCTAATATGTTGAGGGTATTTCCGAACTCATTCCTTGCTCCTCTGGTGTCGAACCCTCTCTCAATACCTGCCTTCAGCTAATAAATTGCAAACAATATGCACGCACTGAGAAATGAGGTGCACAGTCCTAGCTATTATTAAACAAAAATCATAACTTCATCATTTTTTGTCCCATTCCATTTAAAATTTCACCAGTCCACTTTCTCATTTTTTTTCTGCTTTCCTGTAGAGTAGTTTGCTATCAAGGTAGGATTTCCTTTTAAAGAGAGTAGTCGTGTTTCCTTAAGAGGAGTTCGATGCACTTAGGTGTAATTTACTGGAGGACACATGTTTTTAATCACCCAAAGTGTACTTCACTTTATTGACAGACAGATCTTAGATAATAAGGTCTTCTCAATTGTGTATACGAGAACGCCGTTCTAGTCCAGAGCTTATGTTCACTCAGGTAGTCCACACCCCTTGTTCATTTCTCTCTGAATTCCAGATCACACAACCAAAGATAGTATTAAAAAAAAAAGGGGATTTTATTTTTTGGTGTTTCTTAACTTGGCATTACATGAGAGGAATGTATACTCTTCAATACAGAAAATACCCCAAAAATTAACAAATTACATCTTAATAGTATTCAAACCTAAATTCAGGTCATCAGTCAGACACAGATTCTGAAAACAGAGAACAGGCAAATACTTAAAAAACGGCAAAGGAGAGCCTTCATCGTGCAATGTGAGGCAGTGTGTACAAAAGGCAATGGGGAAGTCTGGTAAATTAAGTCACCCAGCCTGTTGTTAATAGAATATTTTTTTAAAGAAAAATAGTGTGGCTCAATTAACTTCAAAATCCTTGAATGGTTAGTTGGACAGTAGATAACGAGGTTTGGAGTTTGAGTCCCACTCCGATAATAGTGTAATAGTGGGAAAGCAAGATCTACATAAACATTTGCCACTCTCCAACCAGGTGAAGTATAAAATGGGTACCTGGAAGGATTACCCGAACTAATGTGCCACTTTTTCTCTCTCACTGATATGCTGTGGAGATGTCAAATTAAACCTGGGGCCTGAAACAGTAAAAACATATAGTTCTGACAGTCGCCATGTATACCATACCCCCAGGCAGCATTACTATAGTTCAGAACAACTTACTGCCATCGGTTTATCATCGAATGTAAAGGTAACTCTTTCACTTCCTGTATGGGACAATTAATATAAAGCTACTCGGCATTCAAAGACACGAACCTCATACCCATCGTGGATGTCGAGCTGGTAAGCGTAAACAAAAACATTATCGCAATACCATCCCCACGATCATCAACCAGGTTGAGAGAAGACCCCCCCCCCCCCCTTATTCCAACACCGGGAGTCAAACGCCAAAAACCTTACCAAAATTCAAACAGTTCCAACCAGGAAACATAATATTCCACAACTCCCCACCGTGTTTCTATGCAACCCCCGCTCAGCAAACAATAAGTTTGATGAACTATGTACTGTAATCCTAATAAGTGATGCTGATATTTGTGGAATTGTCGAGACGTGGTATAAGCATGACCTACCGGCTCAACTGGTTTCCATACCGGGATATGCGCTAGTAACTAAATCAAGAGTCAATCGCATTGCTGGTGGCGTAGCCCTGTATGCAAAACATGATATTTACCCGTCCCAACCCAGCAATGTCTCCGTTCCCGATGACCTCGAAGTTACATGGATACAGGTTTGACCGACTCCTCTTCCACGATCTATCTTGTGCTTATTCTGTGCCGTGATATACTATCCGCAGCCCGATAATGCAGTCGCAGAACGGTTGACGGACCACATTCAATCAACCTTGGACCTTCTCACTACACCCCTCTTCTCACCCCTCTTCTGTATGACCAGCGGTACAAACAAATCGTGCACCAACCAACAAGGGGCACACGCACACTAGACAAAATAATTTCTAACATTAGTCAGTTTTATGACAAAGTTAAAATTTTGTCACCGATTGGACAATCTGACTATGCGACATTCCTCTAGCAGCTGAAACATTACAGTGCAACGCCAAATTTGACAAGAACACGCATAAACCGTCCGATGCCTACCAGTGCAATCTGTTCTTTCGGTACATGGGCGAGCTTACATGATTGGAGAGAAGTTACTGAACCACGTGACGTCAACGCGCAGTGTCACGCCTTCTATAAGACCCTCTATGCTGCCATCAACGTCCACTTCCCAACTCGTAAAATGACACTACATCAAACAGATAAACCATGGATAACTGGTGAAATAAAATACCTGATTCACAAACGGCAGCGTGTATATGACCAACATAATTATAATGCTGATTGGAAACGTCTACGTAATAAAATAAATCAAATGATGGAAAAAGCATCATTGGAATACTACCCAACGCGTGTACAGCGACTGAAGAAGAGCAACCCTGCTGCCTGGTACCGCGAAATTCGCGAGATGACAGGCGGGAAACGGGACCAGCCGCCCATTGCCGTACCTTGGTTAGATACAGAGGCAGCAAGGAGATTACTAACGCAATTAATGAGCACTACATTTCAATTTCATGAGACTTGGACCCACTAAACGCCTCCTGCCTACATGCTTTTCTGCCATCGCCCAAACCAAGTCCAACATGCTACCCTTGGGAGGTACAGAAGGCCCTCGCCAAAGTTAAGCGAAATACCGCGAGTGGCCCGGATCGCATTCCCTCTCGTATCATACTACGTGAATTCTCGTATGAACTCGCTACTCCCCTCACTCACGTGATCAATTCGTCTTTTCAACAAAATATAGTTCCTGATGAATGGAAAAGAGCAATTGTAGTGCCCATCCCCAAATCGAATCCCCCATCTGTTGGGAAGCTCCGTCCTGTATCACTCACAGATCATTTTGCCAAAATAACAGAAGGTTTCGTCGCAAAATGGGTAATTAACGACATAGAACCCAATTTGGATCAGTTGCAGTTTGGAAACCGAAAAAACATGTCAACGTCACACTGTATTATCAATATTCTACACAAAGTGTTTGTTAATTCAGACAAACCAAAATCCTCATCAACGATAGTTGTGACGGACTTTTTGAAAGCCTTCGACCGACTCGACCAAACTATCGCCATAAGAAAACTTATATCAGCTTAGGAGTTCGCCCCTGCATTGTGCCATGGATCATGATTTTCTTGCAATCCCGTCAACGTACCCGTTACAGATCAGTTCTATCTGATTGGTCGATGTTGCAGGCTGGAGTACCACAGGGAACTCGCTTAGGGCCCATTGTCTTTCTAGCCATGATTAATGACGCCCCCGGCCCCCCCCCCCCCCACTCAGAGGTCGGAATGACCGCATGCGTGTTGCCAAAATGTCCGGTAAAGGGGTACTTTTCGTGCGACAAAGTCCGGCCCGAGATTTGTAAAAAAAAGGGGTGTATTTGACTTTTCACCCGGAGATTTCTTTAAAAAGGGGGTGTTTTTCTTTTTTTCTCTCATCTCTTTGGAATCCTGAGAAATTATTCCGAATTTAGGGGGGTACATTGAGCATTTTTCCTGATTTAGGGGGGTCTCCAAGGCAGGAAAAGCCCGCAAAAAGCCCGCGAAAGGGGGGTTCGGAAATGTTGGCAGTCCTCAGATAGGGGGTGCTTTCAAAAAGAGGGTACGAGCATATGCGTACCCTAAATAACACTGAGTGGGGGGCCGGGATGACGCCGCACCACCGACCGGAATGAACGCCTACAAATACGTCGACGACATGACGCTCGTCGAATGTCGTACTCGAGATGAACCGTCCAGTATATGCAGAGTGCCGTCACTGATTTCGCCTCCTGGTCAGACGCCAACCACATGAAACTGAACGCCACAAAGTGTTTCGCAATGGAAGTCAACTTCACACGAAATCCTACTGTCCTACCCGCAATTCGCGTTGATGGCCTAGAACTACAATCCGTCAATACTATAAAGCTTCTCGGCATTCTGATCCAAAGTGACTTGAAATGGGAATAAAATGTTAAAGATTTCATTAAAAGAGCAAACGGAAAACTTCACATGCTACGTATCTTAAAAAGGCACTGCCTTCCAGTTCGCGATTTGTTAACCATATATGATGGATATGTTCGGCCTATTCTGGAATATGGAACACCGGTTTGGAATAGCGGCATCACCAAGAAACAATGCGAAAGCTTAGAAAAAATCCAAAAGCGAGCCCTCCGCATCATCGTCGGTGCTCGGTATACATCTTATTAGAACGTTCTTACCTGCTTTAATATGGAAACACTTGAGCAAAGGAGACATTCGCTGTGCACATCTTTCATTGGAAAAAGTATTTCCAGGAACCAATTAAAGAACATCCTACCCCAGATTACTCAGAAAAGAGTCCTTAGACATACTAAGAAATTACCTGAACTACGTTGCCGAACAAACAGAGTGAAAAACAGCCCCATACCATCACTTATACGCATCTACAATTCTAGCTAACAAGAATTTTTTTTACTTTTATTTATTTTGTAGAATACTACCAATATTATACTTGTGATGTAATCCCATAAGTGCAATACTTGAAGGCAAACTATGGTTTCAAATACTGATACACACAATGTATGAAATCAAGTTTTTAGGCAGATATTTTTTAATATTTATACACATATACCAATTTTATGTTTATACTGGGGTCTAATCTTTGTATCTGTATATTATAGAATCACTACATTTGCTGTACCGAAGTTAAAAATCTGTGTTAACCATTTATTTCTAATTGTTTAAATGACTGAAATTATCTTCCATGGCCAATGTCACAGTTGTCTCCTCTTCCTATACCACTTCT